TGACTTCATCTATCAGAGCTTCAAGTCCAAGACCCCAAGATATTATGACTTCATCTATCAGAGCTTCAAGTCCAAGACCCCAAGATGATATGACTTCATCTATCAGAGCGTCAAGTCCAAGACCCCAAGATGATATGACTTCATCTATCAGAGCTTAAAGTCCAAAACCCTAAGATGATGCGACTTTATAACAGCTTCAAATCCAAGACCCACTATGATACAACTGAGCCAGAGCTTCAAGTCATTATACATTATATTGTGAAATTTATAACATCACCATTAGTCCTACGTTCATTAAACTTCACGAAGCTCCTAAGAGAACGATACACATGATGACTCGTTTGTGGTGTGTAACATAAAGAACTGAATATCATAATTAATTCTTATCACATGTTTGTCGTCTTTGTACAGGTTGAACAAAATGTAATTATTTTTTAAGGTATTGCTATTTTTGTTTAAATATTGGGCGAGGGTTTAAAGTGTGTATGTTAGTCAAACCTTGTGATCAAGTTAGGCTAGTATAGAACCTCACCTAACCTGCATAAAACATTCATTTCGTTGATTGTTAAATCAAATAACAAATTCACACAGTTAACTAAACCACGACTGGTGACGAGTTAACAGTGAAGTTACATGGAAATGACTGTTTGTTTGTGGAGATGGCTGGTTTGTCTGCCTGCGTGAGGAGTGACTGTGTTGTGCACAGCTCCATGTCTAGGCTCCTCTGTCTGGTGCGGACAGTGAATGAGGAGTCAACGTGATTCGTGAACACCTCAAATTTCACTGTCTCTCATGAACAGACAGTGATCCACTTCCACTCGTGGTAAAAGCTCTCGTGGTAGCCCTTGTACAATTACCTCTACATTTAAACTTAACTTCATTGTTCTTTTTACAATTAATTGTTATCACTTAACTACATTAACTTCACTGTTAATTCCTCACCCCTGTCAATGTTTGAGTTAACGTTATGTGAATTTGTTAATTAGATTTAATAATTGGTTCGGTGTTTTAATCTTAATACATCCGTCAGCAGAAAGTTTCGTGTGTGAGTATTGTTGTGTCTGACCATAGTGTTGTGATGATGGTTACTGAGGTACTGAAACGTGGAAGCTGATCAAAGAAGAATAAGTGTCAGGTATTGATCTTTGTTCCCCAGCCTTGGTGTTACTATGGAAACAATTAAACAGAAGCTTCCAAGGGGTGTATCCATTGTTGATATCTGTCAATATAAAGGTTTCAGACTAAATAGCTGGTTTATTAACGTCATTTACTACACGCCACGATGCTCCCACTTGGCCAACACTCGGACCTTCTTGAACACATAATAAATAAATATCCCGGGCGGTGTAGACAACTGGTGACAAGTTTACATCAACAATATACTCACTCATGCCACGGACATCTAGGGACCGCACGCGCGCGCACGCACGCACGCACGCACGCACGCACGCACGCACGCACGCACGCACGCACGCACGCACGCACACGCGCGCACACACGCGCGCACACACACGCGCACACACACACACACACACACACACACACACACACACACACACACACACACACACACACACACACACACACACACACACACACACACACACACACACACACACACACACACACACACACACACACACACACACACACACACACACACACACACACACACACACACACACACACACACACACACACACACACACACACACACACACACACACACACACACACACACACACACACACACACACACACACACACACACACACACACACACACACACACACACACACACACACACACACACACACACACACACACACACACACACACACACACACACACACACACACACACACACACACACACACACACACACACACACACACACACACACACACACACACACACACACACACACACACACACACACACACACACACACACACACACACACACACCACCACCACACACACACACACACACACACACACACACACACACACACACACACACACACACACACACACACACACACACACACACACACACACACACACACACCTGACACTTTTCCAGCCAAGACACTGACGATCCACCCGATGATGTCCAGTGGATTACACTCCCATAAAAGACTTATTGAGCAGCGCAACAAGGCATACTACACCAACAACAACCTGTACAAAAGTCTATGTAACCAGGTCATCAAGGAAATCAAGTCGGCCAAGAAGTCATATTATCCTAGGAAAGTGCACGGCCTCAAGGAAGTCGGCATCGGTCAGTGGTACTCCAAGGTAAAAGATCTCTGTGGTCTCAAACCGTCAGTCTCCCCACACTTCCATTCATCTCACATTTACCTAGTTGGAGGCAGCTGAGATCATTAATAACCATTTCCTACCATATGTCATACCTTACCCAGTCTTGACCTCACTCCTCCCGGCTTACTTACCTTCCCTCTCCCTCCCAGTGTTCAACCATATGAAATCGCCAACAAACTCCTGAAATTTAAATCCAAACGCTCCACGACCCCAATTGACCTCCAATCAAAATATACAGAGTTTGCAGTCAATTTGCTGCCCCCTCTGTTCTATTATTAATGCATCCCTCAGACAAAGCAAATGCCCTAATGAATGGAAAACCATTTGTCACCCCCATCCCCAAGGTCACCACCCACAGTCCCCTAACGACCTCAGGCCAGTTGCCATTACCCCATGCCCAGTCTACTTTGTAAGGACTTTATTTTTGAGTGGGCATTTGCCAGAATCTATCAGTCAACTGATCCACAGCAATTTGGCAATATGAGGACCTCCTCTACATCACACTGCTTGGTGAGCTGTCTGGATTTTCTGCACAAAAACTGCTTGAATGTAAGACATCACTGTCGGTGCCCGTGTTGACTTCAGGAAG